CGGGCGGGAGGCGCCGCTCCTGCTCGGCCCTGCCCCGGCCCCTGCTCTCACTGGCCCCTTCCTGCTGTGTTCCTGAGCCGAGAACGTGTTTTTTGATGATGTTTAAGAAAACGAAGGCAATCGTGGGCTTTTTTGTTAGTTTAGGTTTTTGGTTTAGTTTGGACGCTGCTGCAGAGGATGGAAATCTTCTGAACAGGGATATGCAGTGCTTTGGGTCCTTTCTGAGAAACTGTCTTGTGAGAACTCAGCTCCTAGAATTCTTATTTGGGGTTTTCAAGATCTAAAAAGTGATCATATATTACTAGTGTATGTTGCGTCGTTGTTTTATAGCTTCTGTTGGCTTTGCTTGTGAAGGAGTTGCTCCCTTATTCTTTCCAAGAGTGGAATCCTTTTTCTGTTTCAGCTGGGCCTACTTTAATATGTCCTATTTGTTTTCTTTTGGGTGCATGTTGCAGCTGAGTGCCCCGTTGCAAACTGCACTGACCTAAGACATTTAAAGGAATGCCCGTACCAAGTAGTTGGCTAAAACTTGTCAGACCCTTCTGGAAAGAAAGGTCGAGAGCTGCCTTCACCTGGGGGGTAGCTGTAATAGTGTGTCTGCATCAAGTGACCACGGGTCATGCCAGGAATGAGTGACTGTCACTTGGAGGATTGAGCCTTACTGCAAATCCTCAGGACAGGCTTAACATAAACTCCTGTCGCCTCGGTTCATTTCCCACTTATATAAGGTTCTGGCCTGTACTGTAAATTCTGGAAACATCTCAGGTCCCTTCCAGCTAATTACCCTCCAGTAGATGTGGGGGTTTTTTTGAAACTTGATTTTTTTTTTTTTCTTTTAGAAGTGATTGAAACACATGGATGTGCTGTGAAGTTAATTTTGTCTGGGTGATAATGGTGATAACTTGGTTAAGAGGACCAAGCTTACACCTAAGAGTACTTACTTGTCATAGCATCAGAAAGTTTCCCTTTTAGGTCTGTTCCTGTGTTCCAAGTGTAGGAAGTATTTTGTCTTTTGTAGTTTCTCCAAACCTTTGGCAGACAATGATCCTGCACGTTCTATAGACAAATGCTTCTGTGTATCTCTGCCAGTCTTTATATTTCTTCTTGTCTATGTAGATAGAGATGTGTCTCTCCAACCACTCTGTTTTCTGTTAACTTTTTTTGATTCCATTTCCTTGTGCAGAGAGTTACAAGCAGTCTGAGTTTTATTTGTTTAGGGAGGTTGATGGGTTTTCTATCTGTGATCGTAGAATTTTATATAACATCTTAATATTTTTGTGTGTATCCTTAATTCCTCTGAGGACAGTTTCTGATGCAGTCTCGTTTTTTTCGACGGAACTGATCACTGTATCTTGGAACCTGTAGCTTGAGTGGCTGGCTGGGGGCATCACTGTTGAATTCTGAGCTTACGTTCCACTGCATCTGGCAGAAATTAAAAAGGAAGAACACACAAGTTTATCTGTTGTGTCGAGCCAAGCCTTTTCTAGTCTTTCAAACTCTGCATGAGTGCCTTTTTGTGTGCTTCAGAGTTCAGGATTACAACCAGCCTGCATGTTCTGATTTGCAGATCTTAAATTGGAAACTGGAACCTGCATTTTAAAGTCTGGTTGTGTGGATACCAGCAATTATGGTTCATCCTGAATTATAGATGCTGTTTTCAGGTTGTAAATCTAAAGAACTGTAGCTGTGAAAATTCATGGGGTTACTCCCAAATTACACTCAGTATAAAAACAAATTAAGCAGATTTCTGACATAGACTGGCAAGTCCAACCAAAAAAGAGGATGATCTGGAAGATTCCCTTTATAACTGAGTAGCAAAGATGCCCAGTTGCGGGTGTGAGTCAGCACAGGCAAGGTCCAGAAACAACCACAAAACCACGGCTGAAATGCATGAAGTAAATTTATTTTTCTTACTTGCTAACCAGAGGTTCCCCAAAGGAGCACCTGGACAAAGGCACACAGGTGGGGATACAGGCATTGGTGGAGCTCAGTCCTTCCTAGAGGATCACTGAACCTACTATTTGTGCCCCTTGTTCAGGCATTTGCAGAGGTGGAGTGTACCACTGTGCTTTGATCTTTCCCACAGCAGGGCAGGAGGCTCAGGTACATTTGGTAGGGTGCTTCCAAGTCTGTCACAGGCCTGTGTTATCTGAACACACATGTTCTACTTGTCAAACACACGAGGATAGACAACAATTAGAACAATGTATGTATTTTTCCACACCCTAGCTGCAAGTCACTGGAGCGGGTTTACGATCCTCCTCGCCAGTCTTCCGTTATTTTCCCACAGTGAGTTTGCCTCTGTCCTGCCCGCGGGCAAGCAGGGGCATGTGCAGAGAGTTGCTGTGTCCTCACTATAAGTAATTGCTGCGTGTACGAGGCTCAGCACTTGCTTATGCTGACTCTCTTGCCGTTTCAGGGATCACCCATGTATCAAGTGGACCGGTGGCGGCTGCAGGCGGGTACCTGTCTTGGTGTTTCATGCTGAAGCCATTCTGAGCAACGACAGCTACCTCCGCCTCGTTGGAGGTGGGTGCAGTGATGTGCCAGCTTCTAGCCTGAAGGCATGAGGTGGAAGTGTCTTACTTGGTTGTTCCCTTCTCTTTGTGGTGGGGAGGAGGACATGTTAGGAAGAAAATTACAATTCTCTCTTGTCTCTGAGCACGGAGATCTTCAGAAATGCTTGATCAGTTGGTGAATGTTTCTCATGTCTTTGGGTTGTGACAAGCATCTGTATTTGCCCCTCCATTGGGTTCTGATGAGTTTTGACTTGGAACTGTCTGCTTGCAAATAGAACTTGGAGGCCCTGAGAACCAGAATATAAATTCACTACTCTGTAGCTAAGAACTTAAAATGAGTCAATGGCAGTGAGTTTTGAGTGGCTTTAGCTGGGAAATAAAGCAGCCAGTCCCACAATGGTAAGAACAGTAGCAAGCTGTAGTAACAAATCTCTGTGTCTGCAGCCTCACAACTGTGAGTAAGGCCATAAGCAAAATGATTGCTGCTCTGGCAGCACTCAAGTCGGGAGAACCAACCTGTCTGTTGTTAAATAAGGGAGAGTGTCTTAATAAGAGGCAGAGTTGTTAAAACAGCCACTCTGGATTGTGAGAGTTAGTACTTGCAGGTTTGTACAGCTGGGAGCTCGTTCTGGACGTGCTGAGTTGGAGAAAAGCTAAAATCTACTCAGCTTCTTTTTGTGAAGATGCTGACGCTTCTTTCTTCTCTTGCTTTTCCCTTTCTTAGGTAATTGGTGCCCTCATTTCTAATATGCTATCCAAGCAGAAATGCTTCTGGCTTCTTGGGGTAAGGGGTGGAGAAAGTGTTTTGTGTGTGGAAACTCCTGATCCTTTTCATGTGAGTTAAAACCATACTTGAATGGTGGCAGAAGCTAATGGTAATTGTAACTTGTATCCTAACTGGAGTGTGGTGTCTCTTCTGCTTTTTCCCAGGAAGCAGATCCTTTTTGTGGTTTAACGAGTCTACTGCTGAATAGTGCACTTTGTGAAATTTTTTGAGCTTTGTCTGGTCCCAGATTATGATGCTTCTTGCTCTTTTCTCTAGACTTATTTTTGTATGTAGAACATTTCCTGAGGTTTAATCTAATCTCCATCTTTCTATTCTCAGTTTGAACCAATTTGTAAAGTGCCTTTTCTGAGTGATTCTATATTCTAGCATTGCAATTTCTGACTCTGCTTTCTTTGAACTCTTTTATGGATTGCCACATCCTGTTGTATGACAACTGGCCTCTAGTCTAGCTACTCATTTTCTGTTTGTTTTATACATCCAGTGCTTCTTACTGCTTTTGTTTTTATGGCTTTCTACTTGGCTAGTGAATTTTCTCTTTTTCTTTCCTTGTCCTATTTAGTCTCTTTCTTACTGTATTCTGCTGTTATTTGTGGGAAGATCGGTATCGGTGAATGAGTAATGAACAAAAGTTCAGTGTTTTGTTTGGGGTTTTCAGTGATCATATAAATGAGCCATGCCAATGAGGGACATACATGGCATGATTACTTTTAGCTAGAAATACCAACCTTGAATAGAGAAGAGCAAGCTGAAATCGTGTTTGGAGTGTTCTAAAGCAGTCTATGTAAAGAGGTATTAAAAAACAAAATCTGGGCATTTATTAGGATGTCCCATGTGTTATTTTGATACAGTAGGATTCAGAGATGCTAAAATATTATATATAAGGATTGATGTAAGTCAAGTCACTGCCATCACTGGAGTTAATGCTGCAAGACACGGACAGGTGTCTCCTGCCACCTTTCTTTGCCTATTATGTACTGCTACTGTGTGGATGCTCCACTGTGGACTAAGTGCAGCTGTGCTGTGCCGAGTCCTGTGGTGGTGTCTTCTCTTCTTGGGTAGCGTAGGTAACTTCGGTTTATTCTTCTAGGTGCACACTCTAATTCTGTATCTCTTGCCCTCTTAACAGAGCTCTACCATTTGTCCTATAAGATAGTGCGAACAGACAGCCGTCTGGTTAGAAGCATTCTGACTGCTCATGGATTCCATGAGGTGAGTGCAATGAACTTCAGATGTGATCGTGTGCTTGGCTGCAAGGTGGTGATGATTATTATGCTTCTGGGTATTTTTATGTTTTGTTTTTTTTGTTGTTTGGTGGTTTGTTCTGGTTTTTTTGGTGTGGTTTTGGTTTTCTTTGTTTTTTCTCTGTCAGGTTAGAACCAAGAAGTTGCTGCCAGTCAGACAGGAAATATGTTGTGATTTGTTTCTCAGATGAGTACCCTTTACCTTTAAGCCTGCAAAATTAGGGAAGAAGGGTTGCTGAAGTTGCGTCATGTGTTTTTTCTCTTCTTGCTTTTAAAGTGTAATCTCACACCCTTGGGTAGATCTGAAAGATTTAGTTTCTGAGCCTTTGCAAGTTCACAGAAGCATCAATGCAGTGTTTTTCATTGCTCTTCTAGCACCTGTCTTGCTCTAAGCGTTGTCCTATATGCAGCTAATTTTGGTTTAAGAGGTGTATATGTGGTAGATTTTCTTCTGAATAACACCAAGTTAAGTAACTGTTCTCACAAGATTCCTGAAGAAATCTAGAACATTTTCCAAACTGAAGTTTAAACAGTCTATAAAAAACAAAACTACAAGTTTGTTTAGAAAAATATCACATGGTTATTTCCCAGCACCACTGTACAGTAATTCAGGACAAGAGTCTAGCTAGAGTTGCCCTAATATTAGAGATGAGTAGAGGAGTTTATCTTAAATAGAAGTGCTTTGGTCTCATAGGTGTAAGGTTGCAGTCTGAAGAACAAGCGATGGTGCTTTTCATTAGTTGTGTGTTTTTATGTATGTAGTGATTTTACATTGTTTTTTAGGTGCACCCAAATAGCAGCGATTACAATCTCATGTGGACAGGATCACATTTGAAGCCCTACTTGCTACGTACCCTTACAGATATTCAAAAAGTCAACCATTTCCCTAGGTAAGGCCTAGAAATCATGTTCTGCTGAATATCTTTGTGATGATCTGCAAAAATCTGAACACAGCTAGCTCTCAAAAAATTAGAGTATGCATGGTACTGTGAAGTCCCAATGCTTTGTGTCTGTGCCACGTGCTGTCTTCATGTGAGTTGAAGTGCTTCTCTGTAGCTTGAGTACTGGATTGTACTTTTTTTTTTTCCTTTGTTTGGCTGTATAAGTCTGTGCTTCAGTCTGCTTTGGGAATTGCAAGAGGTGCTAAAAATGAGGATGGATATGAATACAGCCATAGGACAGAGATGGTAAAACTGGAGAGTAGTTGCAGGTTGTGGTTTAGTCGCCTGACAGGGCTACAGATGCTTTAGTAACTAGGACAAAGCGTTGCTGTGTTGTGCTGTGGTTTTATTATGTGGGGAAAAAATAGCTGCAGCCTCTTGTTTTCGGACTTCAGGTCATATGAACTGACACGAAAGGACAGACTATACAAGAACGTCAGTCGTATGCAACTGGCCCATGGATTCAAGACATTCCATATCTTACCTCAGACCTTTATTCTCCCGACAGAGTACCAGGACTTCTGCAGTAAGTAAATGGCTACTGATGCCCACACTTAAAGCGAAATAACTGTGTGGGGGAAAGGGAGTTACTTTTAATATTCCAGCCTGGTCATGCCAGTGATAAAGGCCACAAAATTAGAGGAAGCTGGAAAGACAGTGGAAAAGGCCCACATGATTTCTTTATATAATTTCTATTCTGCAGTTTACTCTGTGTCTGCCTAAGTCCTCAAGAAGCTGATGTGATCTTAAGGCTCCAGCTTATTTGTGTACATGGTGTTACTGATGGTCATAATACTAATGACTAATATCTGAAGAGAGAAGTGCCAGGAGGAGGCACATCATTGCAGAGAAAAGAATGTTGGAGCAGCAGGAGGGGCTGTAATAATTGCAGTGAGTCCTAAGGGATAAAATAGGACATCAGAAAAGTAGACTTTGATCTCCTTGTGGAGATCTCTAAAGCTTTTACTGTACACAGCATTCTTGATTCCTCTTTCTCTGTAAATAAGCAAAAAGGAAGATGTTTCAGACTTGTGCTGTTTTCTTTTAACCAGATACCTATTCTAAGGACAGAGGCCTATGGATAGTGAAGCCTGTGGCTTCTTCCAGGGGTCGAGGTGTCTACCTGATAAACAACGTAAGTATTCAGCAAGAGGACTGCTCTTCAGTTACGCTGTTGGCAAAACTATGCCGGCTTCTAGGTGAGGGATATGGAAACATCTAACCGGACACTGGCCCTGCTCTGGATTTCAGTTAGTGAGCAGTTCAACCATCCTGAGCAGCTGGGAAAGCCTGCTTGGACCTAGGCTGTGTAACCAAAAGCAATCTGTTTCTTCATATGCTGTGCTTATCTTGCCTACTTTCAAGTCTTAGCTTATTAGGAAGAAGTTCAGGCTCCCTGAGACAGTTTGGGAAGCTGTGCTGCTTCATGCTGTCCTTGTGGCTGACAGTAGGCTGGCCTTGGGAAGATTCCCAGAACTTCGTAGTTGTTTCCCTGTGTGACCTAAACAGTGTCTCCCTCTTCTCCCTGGAAAAGACCTTACAATTAAACTTTATGTGGTACAGTAGGATGTGTATCAATCTTAGAGCTGTGTTATGTAAATTCCAGCATGCCCTTACTAAGGTGTAATGGGGATGGTTCTTTGAGTTCAACTTGCTGGTTACAGTGGCTTTTGCGGTTTTGGGGCTTTACAGGGAGTTAGGTTGCCATAGGTAACAAATACGTTCTGGGCAGAAGCCAGACAAATGAGGGGATTCCAATAAATATTCTCAGCGGCAAAACTGACTGGCGAGTCATTTTGTTTTCACTCACTCTCCTATACTGAAGGGGTCATCCTGCCTCATCTGTTCTCTACTTGGATCATTTCCCATAAAATAAGGGTTCAATTCGCCAAGAATATGAGGTAAGTATTTCCAGAACTGCACTCAGCTTTTTCTTTGCTTGAAGGAATGAACTCGGGCTTGTGTGGCAGTGGGCCATGAACTGGGGAAAAGACCCTTCTGGGACCAATCTCCCTGTGTGTATATCTGTTCCAGAAACACTTCAGCTAGTTTGGCCCAAAGACTTTGATTACCTTCAGTGTGGTGCCATTAAGGGAGAGTCTTCTAGAATCAGATCACAAAAATGTTTGAAAACAACAACAAAAAAACTCCAACGAAACAACAAACCTTTTGAATTTCTCTATCTGTGACAAGACAAGCTGTTGCTTTTGTGTGATGTGCTGAGGAAAGTTGAGCTTGCTCCCTCATGTTGTGTATGTGCCTTTATGTGCCCGGGCCTCCTGCTCACAATGCTCGTGATGTGGCCGAATACATGCAAACTCGAATAAAGGCAGGATGACAGGGTTCTCTTAGCTCTTTTCCAAACTGAAGGGAAGAAAATGTTTTGCATGAAACTGTATGAGTAGTTAAAACTGGCTACAAGAGAGAGACTTGCATACAGCAAAAAGTAAAAGCTTTTTCAACAGATCCCATCACTTTGTGGTGTTTATTTGTCATAGATAGAGCTTTCAGTTCTGAGCTGCGAGAGTAATGTCTTCCTAGCACAGTAGCCTCGTCTGTGAACTGAGCTTCAGTAGAAGGTATTTACTCATGTAGGGAGAAAAGCTGGATGCCGGCCCAGAATGTAGCTGTAAAGATCACAAGCTGAGGAGTCGTTTTCTTCACTTGTGACTTCCTTACCAACTGTAGTTACATACTCCTTCCAGTGTCTTCTGAACCACTCCTTTATGTGTTTGGTTGAACACTTGAGAAGCAAACAGAATGACAGTCACTTCTTAGATGTGTTTTTTCCCTGCTCATCATTACAGATTTAAGAGCCACATCATATTCTACTCTAAGGAGCGCTTAACTGGAAGATTCAATGGGCAGGTTTTTTTGGAAATGTAATAATTCCCATGCTTCTGGTTAGGGTCTGTTACCTTAAGTATGCTGTGACTGCCAGTGGTGTTTTTTCATTTCATTTTTGTTTCCTTCCTCCTCAGACATAGTTGCTGGTACGGAGTGGCTTTAGGAGTGAAAGGCTGGAAAAAATGGTGGGTTTGATTTAGTTGTCTTGTTCCTTAAGCCTCCTGTTTTTTCACTCTTGGATTCTCTGTTCTTCTGTAGCCAAACCAGATTGTCCTGGAAGACAACATCCTGGTTTCTCGTTACATCAGCAACCCGCTGCTTATAGATGGTGAGTGTGCTTGGGAATTGCTTTACTCTCTTCTGCAAACCCCACACCTGAGGATCTCTGCAACCTTTGCAGAAATTAGTTCAGTAAATGAGCAGTCTGTCTTCCTCTAGTACTGGAAAAATATAACTAGAGATATCCTTAAAATCTGGAAGCTTTTCAGTTGCAAAAGCTTCAGGCACCTACATCAGCAGCAGATAATGGTTTACTGCTCTTAGAGTCTGTCAACATTCCTCAACTGGATATGATGTATGAAAGATGTTTGCAGTCACTGAGTCTTGACAACTGTATTTCAGATTTCAAATTCGATGTGCGTCTCTATGTTCTGGTTACCTCCTATGATCCACTTGTCATCTATCTGTACGAGGAAGGATTGGCCAGGTAAGGGAGGTTTGTTCTTTCTCAGGGTACCTGCACTTGGTGATCCAGAGATGTCTTGGCTTGCCTCCGTACTCCTGACTCAGTAGCAAATGAGGGAAGTGACAGGGAGTTCTGCAGAGTTTAAATATATGATGCTTCGTCATGCTGTGTCCCAATCACTTTTCTTTATATAGGATCTTTAGGGAAGGACTTCATTACGTATGTGATAAATAAACCAAGTTCTCTACTCCTGAGGGTTAAGTGGCCACACACACCATCATTGGTGTATTCATTCTCAAGGCTGGGTTCTTCTTGAAACTTCTTTGGACTCTTGGTGCCTTTGTGCCCCTTCTCTATCCTCCAGGGTGAAGGGAATCTAAACTTTCTTGATTTCTGTTAAGTCTTAATGACAAAAGCAGTTGGAGACCTATTGTTGACTGTATTGGCCTTTGTTTTAATGCTTTAAATTGCTCTTCTAAATTTTAGGTCAGTATTTGTATTTTGTATGGTATCAGGTAAGTGGGTTTAGACTAGGTTACTGTTCTTACCCTGTAAGATGTCAATTTTCTTTTGCCCATAAGTTGTGAATGATACTTAAGTTTCCCTGGAGGAACACTTATCTACCAAAAATACCTTTTTCTCAATCACAGAAGTTTATATAGCTGTCTGTAGTAACAAATAAATTTGAAATAATCATGCCTCTGAGTTTCCAACAGACTAGAAACTTAACTGTGTGTGTTTGAGAAGAGAGCATCGTAGGTCTGGCTTCTGCAGTGGTTTTAAGCAATGCTGAATGTGTCTTAGAAGCATATCTGATGTACCCAGAAGGAATATCTCTAGGGTTCAAGCGTGCATGACTCTGACTTAGACAGATACTGAATTCATCTTTTTCCAAAGCAGATACTGAATCTGAAAGGATCTATTAGTAATGATCGTGCAAGAACTATCCTCTTTTAAATTGTTGAGCTGATCTCCTTCAAATGTGTTGTGACGTGCCTCTGCCTGCAAAGATAATGTGAACAGTTTGTTTCCCAAAAGGGGGAGAGGAAAGGGTAGCTCATCTTGATCAGTGGAAGACTTGGCAACTACAAAGCTCCTTTTCTAAAGTGGATAAACATACCTGATATGCAAAATTTTCTATTGGGAATCAGCAGTTAAATTGTTAGTTGCTAGTATTGCAGTAGTTGTCAGCTGTGGGACTGGTGTAGAGGGAATAGTGCGATGTTATCTCTGGTCTGAGGACAATCCTGACTCTGGAAAGTAACATCAGTGCTGCTGTAAAATGCCCACTGAGCGATTTCAGCTGTAGCGTCAGCTGCAGTTAAAGGCTTGTAGCAAGTCTTGTAGTTGAATGCTTTCACATGATAGATATAAATTTAGAGCAATTGAAGATATTGGTTGCTATAAACTTTTCCCTTCTGTGGCGGTAGAGTTGATACTGTTCGTGCAGCGAGTGCTGGCAAGCTCTCTAGAGGACAACGCTGAAGCCTGAGCGGAGGCTGACAGAACACTTTAGGAAGGCTATTCTGTGAGGCCTCCAGATGGCACTAACGGTCTTTTGCTGTAGCGGTTTGGATTTTTCCCATTCCCTGGGTTTACAAATTCAGTTGATGAGAGGTAAGGAAGCTGGAGCTAATGGATTTTGGCTTCCTACTTAGCTGTTCTGCCTTTCATCTAACAGTGTAAGTTAAGTGCTGGGAGAGATCCTTTTATTGCCTTGCAGAGTGTAGTGTTTTGGTTTAAAGCTGGGAAAAAAATTTCAGTGGTGTAGGGAGAGGGGAATGCTTTAACCTTTGAGAGCGGAAGCTGTTTCTTGTTTTTAAGAAAAAAACCCAAACATGTTGCTTAAGAGTGGAAGCAGTTTGTAACAGAGAACTGGGAGGCAAGATCAGGGCCTGGAATCAAAGGTGGAATTGAAGCCGTCTAAGGGGAAACCCGCAAGCAGAACTAAGCAATCTGTTTTCAGGACCTCTACTACTCCTTGTGTTGCACTATGGTGACTTGCATGTTTTTGAGTTTGCTTTCTGAGGGTAGGTAGTCTCTGAAGTGTAGTCAGGATGACCTCTTCTGAGCTGTTGTCTTTCTTTTTCCTTTTTTATTAGTCTGTCTGAAAGGTAATGTTCCCCTCCAGTGTTATGCTTTGCGTATTCCAAGTAGAACAGGAACTTGACTGTTGCAGTAAATCATGGTCACCTATACCAGAAAAGGAATGCTATCATGAAACGGTAAGATGTAATGACCTTTAGAAGGAACAGGCTTGGTATAATACACATTTGTGATGTTTGACTAGATACTTTCTTAGGCGTGGTTTCTCTTGGCACCGCTAGACTTGTCATGACATGATCTAGAGTAGAATTTGAGGCTTCAGTGCTGAGGAGAAGAAAGGGATTAGGGATCCAGTGTATCAAACTTGTGTTTTGCTTTTCACGCAGAAGGAGATGTGAAGGCTATGTACTCAGAGGTGTGTAACAAAGCCTTCATCTAGTGTTTCACAATTTGTGCTGGAAGTACTGAATAACTGTTTGGTTTGCCTGGCCAAAGCTCGCTTATTTTTTTATTTTATCTCCTAAAAGAATATTGAGTAGAACTTGGGAAGTGCAGATGTTGAGTGGGTTCCTTTTGTAGCTATTTCCACCCCACTCCCTATGGAATAAAGCTGTATTTGGTAGGAACAGAGCCTTAGGTCAGCAGAGTCGGGTATCGGACTTCTGTAGAGGGCCCCTGAAATGAAATCAGAAAAGAGAAAGGCCCCAAAATGAAATTGGAAAAAAGAGTAGGCCCCGGAATGAAATCAGGAAAGGAGTCTGAAATGAAACTGGAAATCAAGTGTGACCCTGGAATGAAATTGAGAAAAGAGAGGGCCCTGGAATGAAATAATGAGAAGGACTGTGTCTGAAATTAAATTGGAAAAATAATGGGCTCTGGAAAAAGAGCAGGGCCTGAAATTAAATTAGAAAAAGAAAGGATCTTCAAAATGAAACTGGAGAAAGGGCAGGGCCCCAAAATGATATTGGAAAAGAGCGGGGCCCCAAAATTGTGTTGGAAAAAGAGAGGGCCTTGAAATGCAGTCGGAAAGAGCAGGCCCTGAAATGAAATTGGAAAAGAGAGGGGCCCTGAAATGAAAGCAGAAAAAGAGGGGCCTCAGAAAAGAAATTGGAAAAGGGAGGGCCCCCAAATGAAATAACTCTCTAAAACGTTGCAAGGTTTCTCAAGAGTTTATTCTAATTTTAGATTAATACCTAAAAGATTTTACAAGCACTGAAGTTTTCCTACTTTCCAATTTTACTGTAAGGCCTGTTCACATGACCTTAGTGTCTCCTAAAATAACCTGTAAATTTCTGTAAGAAGCAAGATGTTCTGTAGCATGCAAATTTCTTGTGTTTCCTGGAGTGAACAAGTGTGGTGGAAGAGTAGCCTTGTAACTACAGTGGGTGAGATACACAGCGGAGTATAGTATGAAAAGCTGTAGAACTATAGAGTACTGAAGGTAACTGTAAATTATATTTTGGTGGTAGTAATGCTCTTCCATCCCAAGCAAGTGTGAAACACAGTGTAAGAGATGTGGGCTGTTGCCAGCTTGTGCTCTGTCACTGTTCTGACATCCAGAGCCTATTGATAGAGGCTCTAGAAATAGCTTGGATTTTCCATTTGCAGACTTGCACCTAGCAGGAGGCTAGTAAGGTTGGCAAACCACCTCTTGGAAAACATATTAAGCTGGCATTTGATTCTGTTGTTTAAAACTTGAAGGTTTTTGATGGTAGATTTGACATTTTGTATTTTTTTTTTGATGCATTGTTGAGCTGGCACATGATATCCCTTAAGATGACAGCATCCTAGTAGAAGAGAAGATTTATGTACTGAGAGCTCTAGAACACATTGGTATTCCTTCTGAATAATTGGTTTCCATGCAAATATGAATTCTATGGGCATAGTGCTCAGACTGCCTAGTAGGTAAGGATGGTCTCTGTAGAAGGAAGCTAATGCAAGCATTTGCAAGGTAAAGAAATACTGATTTTTTTTAAAGTATTGTTTAAGTCTGCCAGTCATTCATATCCTCCTATTTCTGATCATGTGCATAATTAAACAAATAAGCTGCTAAGCATTGTGAACCTAATTGCTTCAAAGTATCAAGGGAACCATAGTTTTGTGAAATAGCTTATTGCTTGGGCTCAGTATCTACCAGGATCTGTCTGAAAGCATATTATCAACAAATGCTTTCACTATGCTGTCAATAAATTATTATTGAGGTGGATATGATGAAATCATAATTAAGAACAAACTGTATGATAAGACTGTTTTCCCTATTTTGAAAACAGAAGTACTAAATCCAGGAAACTTATAGTTAAACTGAAGAGAAATTCAGATACTTCTAAGCTGTGGAAATATGTGCAAAGGGGATCCACACTTTCAAACTCTTTTCTGTTGCTGGCTGCTCTGACTCCATGTGTAAGTTAAAGCTCAGAAAAATATGGTGCATTTCCCCACCCCCCCTTTTTTTAAGCTAGCTCCTTACAGTTAGTTGCATCATGGAGGTTTGGGTTCTTTCTGCTCCCACCTGTGATTTAAGGATAGATTTAGTAAGTTAGGTATCTTCACAGATTTGCTGATATAGTTGTTCTCGAGAGAGAGAAATATTTCTCAAGATGGTTACCAAGTGAGGGCAGTTAGTGACTTCATTTTCATGGAGAAATGAAGTTTGTTTGGGGGTTTTTTTTGGCAGTTCTTTCTAAAGGAAGGAATTTTTTTTTCATGTGTGGCTTGTTAGATGTTCTTGTATAGTTCCGCTTCTCAGTTATGGAAAATAATAGGGGAAAGGATGAAGAGAAATTACTATTAATAAAGCAAATTGGAGATGCATTCTTTTCTGGAATTCATTGTACAGCCAAGTGCTCCAAATTCCCCTCCTTCTCTCCCTCTTCCATTTTCCTTGAGCACTGCCTCCCTTTTCCTGCTTCAAGGCTTCACCCAGATCTACTCTCCTTTACTTGCAACTAACCCTACTCTTCTTGGTACTTTCTTTCCCTCTGCCAGAGCTTCTTAGGATAACATCTATCTGATTTCCCCTTTCTCTCTTTTGAGACATTGGTATCTTAAGCTGTTGTGGCATAGAAAGATGATTGGAGTGAAGAGAAGGTATTTTTTCTCATGTTGATTTTTTTGTTGTTGTTGTTTTGGTTTTTTTTTTTAAACAGACTGTGCTTGCTGTTACGAAATGTGGTGGTTAGCAGTGGCTTATGCTAATCATTCTGCCAATCAGATATCATGGATTTTGCCCTTGATCTTTGGTTTTACTTACTTTTCTCTGAAAATATTTATTGAAACAAGAATTGATTTCATGCAGAATAAGAAAATGAATACACTTGGACTAGATGATTCTTGTATGTCCCTTCCAACTGGAATTATTGTACTACATAATTTTTAACTTCATGGCATGTCCTTGTCTAGATGTACTCGTTTGCAAATGTCGCTGCAATAGTATTATCCTCTGCTTAATATTTGATTTTTATTTTTTAAAAATGTTCCTAAAATGGAGGTGCTACTCTTTCTGTCCTGACTCTGCATTTTTACACTCTTCTTCGTTATGTCTTAAAGAAAGTGTACCTGCATCTGATTGAAAGTTAATTGTTACCTTTCTGTATTTGCTCAAGTGGCTGTTTAGTCAGATCTGTGACCTGTCTTGCCTGTGGCTCTGTAATTTGTGGAGCAGATAAAGTGGAGTGGCTGGAGAGTGCAACTGAGGAGGCTGAGCTTTCAGCTGCAGTGTGTCCTTAGATTGACAAAGGCTGATAGTGCAGCTACACCTTCAGGAAGCAGCTTTTGCTCAAGGTGTCATTTTAAACTCTTTAAATTGACCTGGCTGTCAAGAGAAGCAGTCCTGCACTCTTCCTGGCTGCTGTTCCCTTTCTCATGTTCACCCTTGCCTTTCCTGGCACAGGTGTACAATCAGTTCTCCCCTGGCTGCACAGTGCAAACTGGAATGGAGGGGTAGTGTGGGCAACTGTACTAGCAGTTGGTTGCAGGAAGCTGCTTCCCCTTTTCCAGAAGCTGAGTATTTCAGCATTCATTCACTCTCTTCTTAAAGAGGTGTGCTATTGATTACTGTTTAAATTGCTTCAGTGCAATTTTGTGCTGTATTCCTAAGCTCATTCAGAGGTTTGCAATGTCCCTTAACACCCTTCTCCCTCTCACATTTTGTTCCCTCTGCCTCAAACACCTCACAAACCCCAAGTCTTGGGCTGGTTTTCAGCTGGATCAATTTTTTGATTCATTTCAACACAAATATCTGTGATGATACTGTACAGCCAAGGAAATGGTGATGGGGCTACTTGGTTACAGTACAGGTGATGCGTTTGAATTAGGAGGATGGTGCTGTTTCCAGAACAAACAGACTGATTTAACTGTGGTGGTGTTGACTGTAACAGGATTCACACAGAGACTTTATAGACCTGTAGTAGTGTCTTGCTCCTGATTGTGATCCTCCCTACAGTCCTTTCCCTTGTACCCAGCCAGGTGATATCTTTGAGTCAGGGAAGGGCTGCGTAGTTCCTGAGAGTGACAGCGCCTTAGAGCAGATGCTGTCTTGTTGGACAAATCAGTCTGGCCTGCAGGTGGTGCTTGGTTTCCTGGGTGGCCCTCGAGAAAAAGAAATGGCACTTGTAGGCCATGCAGATGTTGGTGATAGAAGTCTGTTCCCACTCTCAGCCTTTCCTAAGGCATCCTTGAAGTACACAAGAGCTGAGCTGTGCTTGTATGAGATTTCAGGAAATACTGACTGTGCTATGCATGTGTAGTATGATTGCTCTGGATGCGTGTGTTTCCCAGGACCAGTAGATCTTAAATATTCATGGAGGTCCTATTGTGAAATTGAAGGGACTATGACACTGACGGTCTGAAGTGAAGTGGCCTGTTTTGCCATAATGCCTGAGGACCGCAAACCTAAGCAGTTGAGAAAAAAAGTGCCGGCTGTGGTGTGTGCGCTGTTAAGCTGTGAAAACTCCCAGCAGAACAAATGGAGATCCCTGGTCTAAGACGGTGAAAAAAAGACTAAATGCACCTGAATGTGGCCCTTGAGAATAAACTGTATTTTTTGTGAGGAGAGGTTGCATTTGATGGGTCTTGTTACCCACATTCCATTCTCTTTCTAGCTGCTGTTGCTGAGTGGTCTGTGTGGTAGGTCATATTTAGCAAGCATGTCGCTTGTTCAAGAAATACTGTGAATCTTTATCCCTCTTCACAGGTTTGCAACAGTGAGGTATGACCAGGCATCCAAGAACATTAAAAACCAGTTCATGCATCTGACCAACTACAGTGTCAACAAGAAGAGTGGAGATTATGTCAGGTACCTGGCTGGAAAATGGAACTTGAACTCTAGAGACTGGGTCAATTTACTTAAGTTGTCTAAAGCTGGTGCAGGTCCATAGAGGTAGGCCAGTGGTGTCAACTTGCTTCTTTCATTTATTTTTAGCTGTGATGATCCTGAAGTAGAGGACTATGGAAACAAGTGGAGCATGAGTGCAATACTGAGGTACTTAAAACAAGAGGGGAGAGACACTGCAGGTCAGTACAGATCATGTTCTTTTATTCCTTTGTTGGATCTTAATCATCTCACTAGTACAAATCCTAAGTCGAGGAAGAGCCCCAGTGAGTCCCATTTAGCACCAAAACAGGGTGGAGGGAAGCATTGTTCCTTACAGCTTACTCATCAGAGCTGTGCGCTTACTCTCTATCCCCAGAGATAAGTCCTATCCCCAGAGATGAGGCCTACCCCTTCCCTTTTGCAAATAATATTCTGAGACTTTCTCAGGGTGTGTTTCTTAATATTTTACCTACATTTCCCATTTCTTAAGGTCATTCCATTCCTTCTAAAAGCTTCCCTCCCTCTACTGCTCCCATGGCCTATTCAGTCTGATGAGTGACCAACCTCTGGAGAACTGTGCCAGTTTGAATGACTCTTGGATGTGGTGTCATCTTTCCATGGCTCAGGTTTTTGCTGGGTGTTTTCATTTCAGTTTGTGTTTCATATAAAATAGCTCCCTCTTCCACACCTTTGCCAGGTCTGCTGGGAGTAAATGCATCTGCAGAGCAGAATCCAGGTATATCCTTTAAGGGATAAATTACCTGTGATACTGAGGCATCAGTAACACTACTGATAGCAGCTATGCCCGTCCTGCAAATTTTGCCAGGGAACACTTAGATGTTGGAGGAAGGGGTTTGAATTTGGCTTTCAGATGGAAGTAGACTTCTTTCCCTTTTGTAT